GATTTAAAAGATTTTAATGGTTTTCATCATCAAGAACTTATTTGTGAAACAAAAATGAAATATTAAAAATTAATTTGTTCATTTTTAAAAGTTCGAGACTTGCTATTAGTGCAAATTTGGTACGCTGTATTGGATCGAAGAAAGGACAAGGAAATCTCCAATGCATTATATGGATTCAGTCTATTCGTAAACAAATGTACTTTCAATCTATGTACTATGGACCATGCTATGTGTACACTATGTGTACACCATTGGCCTTTCATCCCCCTCACATGGAGGGGGGCCCACGTACAATAAAATATTTGTGGGCCCCCTCTATGTGAGGGGGTGTAAGGTCATGTGTACACCACGAGATGTACACATAACATTATTCATGCAATATTGATGTCTAATGAATTGATAGTCGATTCAAATTTAATCTCCATTGGACAAAAAAGAGAAAATAATAATAAATATGAGAGAAAAATAAGATACATGAGAGATAGAGGAGGGAGAATTTAAATATTGCCCACTCAACCGTTTAATAAAATTTCAATATCTAAACGACTCTTTACAATATCTATTTTTCTTGTCACGCCAATTAGATAGAGTCTCACTTAGATTCCATTGAAGAGGAATTTCGGTAGATATCGTCTATTTTTTACTTACAAGGCAATTTTTGGTACAGTTCTCATTAGCATTGGAGGCTTGTATATGATAGGGTTATGGGGATAATATTAAGGTGGATAATGTTTAATACGAAGTTTGGTGCTGAAACATACTCGAAGATAGTATAATTAATGAAAGATTATAAAATAAAAAAATATGACAATATTTTTTACTTATAATAAGGTTTTATAATTTATTAATTGAACTTTTTAATTCTAATTTACACGTGGTTAAATTTTCACTTATAAGTGATTTTTTAATTATAAGTAATTTTTAACTTGCATGTGAATATTTTGAAATTAAACATTTTTTTTTTTACATATAAGTGAATTTTTTAATTTGTATATAAATTTTTTAATTATATGTATAAGTAAATTTTTTACTTCTACCAACTTTTTTAGTTATAAATAATTTCTATTCTAAGAGCATGTTTGAGAGGCATTATTCCATCAGAAATAGAAATTTTTTTACCATTATTGTACCGAAAAAGCAGGCTTTTTTCTGAAATGCCTCTCACGGGTAGGTCCGATTTTGCAAAGTAACGATCACATTTCTTATATTAATGGTTGGAATAATGCCTCTGAAACAGGGGCTAAGTACTTTTTCTAAACATAAATTAATTTTTAAGTACAAGTGGTTTTTTGTCTTACAAGTGATTTTTTATTTATAGGTAATTTTTTTATTTACTTATAAGCCATTTTTCATTAAAATTGATTTTTTTTTTTCTTAGAAGTCATTTTATACTTGTATGTGAGGTTTTTAGTTAAATACTTTTTATTTAACATTCAAATTTGTATGTATAAGTGATTTTTCGTCTCATAATCAAAATTTTAGTAATAACTAATTTGTTTACTTATAAGTCAATTTTTAGGAATTTATAGTATGTTTTATTTATATGCAATTTTTATTGCATACTAAAGTATATATTTTTTTCTATCATAAGTGATTTTTATACATAAGTAATCTTTTTGCTTATAATTGAATTTTTAAGTTCATCTATATGTAAACTTTCTAAAATGTTTTCCGTTTTATTTTTCACTCCGGTTACTAAGTATACGAAAACGCACCTCTGGAGTATAGGTTGGGGACAAATGGTGCAATTTTCCATTAAAAAGTGTTTACCCTAGCCTAGCCTAGCCGAGCCGAGACGAGCTGAGCCGGTAGGATAAGCTGGACTGTCTTGTGCTACAAGATTGTCCGTGAATCGGGAAGATAAACACGGACAGCTATATATGTAATCATCAAACGATCAATTTAATTAATCACATCTTTAATCGCATCACGCCTTGCGTCATGCACATGTCATGCAAGTGTCAAGATGATGTCATGTACCTTTTTGGGTTGCCAATTTTTTCTTCTTATTAAAAAAAAGAAAGGCACTGGCTTTTTCTCACGCCTATCTATTCTATCCCTATCCGTAATTCAATAATTTTCAGCCGTTGATTTGTATACTCGCCTATCAATAATTTTGACCCTGTTAGTCGTCCTGATTTTCTGAAATAATTTTTTGAAGTGGATGAATCTATTCGCACAATTATTAATAGCTTGTTTGGTAGATATTAAAATTGGATTAAAATTGAAAAATTAGCCGTTATTGTTGATTTTTATTAGACGAGTGAAACCTAATAACGGCTATATTTTTAATTTTAATTGGATTAAAATCCCTCACAAACAATGTCTAATTGCTACTATTCGAGAAAGATAACTAGTAATTTTTAGACAATCTTCACGGAAAATAGTAATAAAGATTTCGAAATGTGTAAACAATAATGAATAACAATTTTAAATTTATAGTTGAAAATAAAATTTGACAAAATAGTAAACGTAACTTTTAAATTTACTAAAATTAAAAACATGTTGGAAATGAGGGGTGCCTATTGTCCCCATTTGGGAATGACCTAATAGCATCTTCATAAAAGGCTTTTTTTTTTTAAGTGGGGCCCAAATAAATTTGGTTTGAGGTAAATTTCTCGACTTAGTATTGGTTGATATATGGTAAATTGCAACTTTTCCATCATCTATAGCTTTAAAATCAAGGTAGTTACATTTCTCTACATCAGTTGGTATCAAAATTAGAAGTAACATATTCAAGTCAATGCTGAAGCATTTACGGGGAGTGTGTGTATGATGTAGAACCATGCTTGAAATGATGTTGTATCTATTGTCGCTACAATATGAATGGTCTAATAGGACCTTCATAAAGTGTCCTACGAAGTGGGGCCCAAGCAAAGTGAATTTGGGATGAATTCCCAAATCTGATATTGAGTGATATATGGTAGATTGTAACCATCGAGTTGCAATTCACCCTGTTTTAGTAATAACATAGCTTTTGTAAGGTAAAATTGTAATAGATAAAATGGAACGAGATGTAATTTTATATAAAAGAGACTAGCATCTTTCTACAAAGCAAGGAAATTTTCCACTTAAAAACTTGAAATAGACACAAGTTTTACATGGTGGTTGCAAATTTTGAAATCTCTTTAGTCAATGCGTTGTTGGGGGTGTTGAATATTTCACCATCAATCTTGGCACTTGATGGGCTCAATTTATCTCTATTTGTGTCTAGTATGTTGATGGGGGTAGTTTTTACGACTCCCTATTTTAAGTTCAACCACTCTAAAACTCAATCAATTTATTAACTCTGACCTCCGTTCTTTCATTACGAATCCAATAAAAGTGATTTCGTGTATGTAGAAACTTGCTTGCTTCTCTTCTTAGAAAATCTCTGATGATAATATGAATTGTACTAAAAAGTTTTGCCACATAAGTTAAATTCGACAAGAGTTGAGATATAGGTATAGGGAATTTTTACCGATTTTTTACAGATTTTTGAAATCAACAATGCAGATTCAAACTTTGGGAAAAAATTAAAAAATACGGATGGACAGGATGCTGCCACATGCTATAACATTTCTGGGAAAAAAAATGCATCTAGGATTATGTTGAACGACATGACGAGAAGGAGTATACATTGTCAAGAACATTGTGAGGATGTAAAATTTGAATTAAACTACTTGTACAATGAATTTGCACAATGATTTTGACAATGTGTGAGGTGTATAGAACATTGCCATTGAATTCAAAAACAATCTTTCAAATCAATGGACTTATTGTCTGACAACTCACACATTATCAAATTTATTGTCAAATTCAATGAACAANATCAACATTATGGACACCCTTATGTAGATGCTTATGTACCTCTAGTATTATCCAATTTAATATTCATTTATCTTTCTATCACCTGTTTCTTACCCTTTTTTTCTCTCTCTACTATTTGTTAATTCTCATATTAAATACATAAACGAACAAAATTCGAATTGTAAACGAAACTAATTGAAGATGAAATTCAAACTAAACCATCCATTTGAAGATGCTATTACCCTCCCGTGTAAATAAAAATTTCTACATTAAATATTAAAAAAAAAGGTTATAAAATTTAAAAATAAATATTATTAATCGTTACTGATTACCACTGGTCTAGGTGACTTTGAGCTCCATGATATATTATCCAATTGGTAACGATAAATTAAGTGACTCGTTCACGATGTCGCCTAAACTAGTGATAATATGGTAAATATCATTATTAAAAAAAAGAAAATGTTAAGCCCCCGTTTGTTTTTTATTTTTCATTCATAAAAATGAAAAATATGACTGTTATTCATCACATTAAATCATCAATTTTGAATTTTTATCTCTTGTGTGGGGCTCAATAACAGCTATATTTTTCATTATCATTCTAAAATAATGAGAAACCAAACCATATTTTACAAAATTTATTTCTAAAAATAAGGCTCAATCTTCTGAAATATTACAGAACTTTCCTGTTGACTACTAAATGGATAGACATTAACGAAACCTCAAATTTCTAAATTTTGACTGAAATTAATTTCTCACCTAAAACTCAAAAAAACTGGCATCGGCTCGAGTCAATGAGAATAGGAGCCGATGGCTATGACTCTACTTGACCGCAAAAGCACAGTCCTGGACTGTACCGTCTAGTTAATTAGAGCAGCACCGTCAAAAATCATACGAACAAACTGTACTTTGATTCCGTCACTCTACTGTCAAAACCCCTAATTAACCATGGTTTATTTAAAGCTGACGCGTGTCCCAATCTACGCGGTTCCTTCTTTCCCACCCACCCCATCACCGCCTTATTTATTCAGCCCCAACCTCCTCAATTCCTCTACTCTTATTATTTACAATTTTCTCTTCCTTCGCAATGTCGAACCCTGTAAAAATTTGAACTAGAAATTTGATTGATTCGTGTTTATCAGAAAAAAAAATTTGGGTTCGTTTTACTGATTATTTTTTGTTTAAAAATGGTTTTTTCTGAGAATTTATTGGCGATGGAACAACCATGTGGGACGTTCTGTCAAACGTTTGCTGATTCTTGGTATTGCGATGTCTTTTCTAAAGAAACAGAAGCCCTAACAAAAGTCTTGCAGAATTCGTACGCAAATCCATCGACTGAGAATAATTCCAGTCATGAAATTTCGACGGATACGGTTGAGTCTTTTCTTGTTAGTCCCGAATTGACGCCTGTGCAGACACCCACTGCGGCGAGAGGTTTAGGAAGTGGAGTTCCGGTTTCGAAAATCCGGATTGACGCGCCGACGGGGAAGATAACTAAGCGAAAGTCGCGTGCCTCTAAGCGGGCTGCGGCTACGACGTTCATCACGGCAGATCCGGCGAATTTCCGACAGATGGTGCAGCAGGTGACGGGGGTGAGATTCGGCGGTTTGAAGGCTCAGTTTGCGGCGGCGCAATTGGTGAAGCCGGAGCCTCAAAGAGCTACGAGTCACATGCAGGGTGGTGGATGCTTGCCAACTCTTGACACCTCAGCTTTTTTGCTGGACCAAGTGGGGTCCACTTCATCTCTATCTGTTGAGCTACCGGCCTCTAATGTTCCTCCGTCGCCGCCCGTATCGGTGGCTGACCGTGGCGGCGGCGGCTTTGAATTTGAGTCATATTCCTATTGTAGCTTTCCAACTCTCGAGTCGTGGAAAGCTGTGTAACCTGAAATTTTTCTTTCAAATCTTGGTCTAGAGAGTGCAGTGGATGGGGCAAAAGGGTGAATCTGTAAATATTTTACTTTTTTTTATCTGCCTTCTGTGTCTGTGTGGACGTGGGTGAGGTTGGCCGTTGGCATGTATGGCTGGGGTTTTTTTTTTTTTTGCCCTTTTAATGATGAGTAATATTATTATGATAGTATAATTAAAAGAAGTGTTTATAAATAATTTAAAATATAAATAAGCCAAATAAATTATCAAACAAATTATTATTATGGGCTAAAAATATTAAAGAGGAAGAGAAATTGTTCATCCATTTATAGTTAGAATAAATGGATTGTTGCTAGTTATAAACACATACGATTCTCTTCTAACAAACGAAATATATACTGAATAATTAAGCAATAAGTCATCAAAATCAAGAACAATTAATTTAGTTTAACGAATCAGATAAATTTACAAAATACACTTATCATGAGATTACTTTGTCTAGAGCGTACTCGTTTCATCCAATTCAATCATTTTGTATCGATTTTCTTGTAACAAACGAAAATGTATATACCGAATTAAGTCATGAGTCATCGAAATCAAGAACAATTAATTTAATTTAGCGAATCAGATAAATTTACAAAATACACTTATCGTGAAACTACGTTGTCTATAGAGCGTATACATTTCAATACATCTTCAATGTTTGATTTATTGTCGTTAGTGCATAAACGCCAATGAACATTTTTTTCGATTTCATTATACTTTTAGAGGCTTATTTGAATCCTTTGTACATTCTTTTGTGAAGAAACACTTCCCAAACATAGTTTAACGCATCTCACAAAATTCTTTTTCTATTTATAACTTAAAACATTTTATAAACACATCCCCAAATATAGTTTTAACAATAAATTGAGCCAGCTCTACAAGATATAAAGGAGTCAAATACAAAGCCAACTGAACTATTGTCCACCACCCATCAGTACGGACGGTCACATATTGTCCCTCGACAGCTCAACATAGATAGGTGAAGCGGACCCCACTTGGTCCTAAAAGCTGACGTGTCAATAGTTGATAAGCATTCCCGCACTGCGTAAACTGTAACATATATACTAGTTTGGACTTTGTTTGGTGTAAATAATTTTTGTACATAGGGGTGTCTATAGAGAGCTGCTACATTTTACAGCTCACACTGATTAGTGTGGACCCCACTAATTAATTACTAATCAGTGTGGACTGTAAAATGTACAGTCCATTAAGAACTGTACAATTGGAAAAATTCATGTTCATAATTCTCACATGGGGTGGAGCCCACATTTTTGTGAACTCCACCCCATGTGAAGGTTATGTACACTCTTATGTACAGAGCATTTTTCTAATAATTTCTGTAGATAAAAAGGGATTTATAATTTATTTAGTGGAAAGGAATGGCCACGTTTAACAATTAAAAAGAACTTCTGTTCTCCAAGTAGAATTTTGGGGGAAATTTGCAATATTCTATCTTAAGACTATTGGTCATTGGATGCATACTACGTACGCTCGCTATATGTATTCATGTTGTTGTAGTTATACCAAATTTATTACAATTTAGGGGTTGTTTGATAAAAGTTTCAGTGTGTGTTTTGACGCACATTAAAATGGAAAGAATGCATTTTTTTTGTGATGTGATGGTGAATATATGGTTGAAAAAGAAGGAAAAATTATTGATGTGATAGAAAATATTATTTTATTGAAAAATGTGTGGTTGAAAATGAGTAAAAGAATGAGAATGAAAATGAAAATGTAACTCAAACAAGGACTTGGTAGATTTTCATTAAAAAGAGAAATGTGCGGCTGAAAAGTTAATGAAAGTTATGGATTCCGTAAAATATACGGTTAAAATTAATTATTGACTTTCACTTTAATGTTTAAGCAAGTTTTTAATCTATCCCCAACATGCACTTAAATTTACTTTATATTTTTATTTCTAACGTGGCCAATAATATTTAGCCCCTGTTTGGTTTGCATAAGAAAGAGATTTTTATTATATTTTGATAAAGTCGATGAAATGTGTGTTAAAAAAAAATGATAAAAGTTATAGGTTCCATTGGACGTATGATTAAAAATGAATTTGAAAAAAAAAAAGTGTTGAGAAATGGGGGTGAAACAGAGACACAGTTCACCGTAACAAACGATGGATGATTAAAGAATTAGCAATTATTTACAAACATTATATAAAAGTCTAATTATTTTTAATCTACATATTTAGTGGGTGTTTGGTAGGGATTAAAATTAAATTTTTAGTAGATTGTGATAGAAATTTTTGAAATGTATAATTGAAAAGTTGTGGGACTCGTGAAGGATGTGATTAATATTGATTGTTTGATTTAGATTTAGATTAAAATCTGATTTTAATACGAAACAAACATGACCTTAGTAGGATTTAAAAATACTATTCAATTATTCATCACTAATTTTTATCAATTTATAAATACAAATATTTTAACAAATATATGTGTTAAGTTCTAAGTTAGCAAATAAATTGTACATCACAATCGATTTAGTTAGGAGAAAAAAAAACCTATTAAAAATTAAAGTCAATTAACCTTAGTTAATTTTCATTATTATTGTGTGATTTCAACTGCAAAATTAACGTGGTGGTCCCCACATGTATACGTCATATAAAGAGGTCAACAAAGAGAGTCAAAAATCAATTAATATGTGGGATATTAATAAAAAAAAATAGGCAAGTCTCGAAATGAAGTAAATCAAGTCAATTGGAAAATGACAAAAGTGTACAGCCAAGTACAGCTGCCCTCTTTGACCCTTTCAACTTTGAATTATTCAACTACCAAAATTGCATCAAAACTGGATATGAAAGAAAGGAAGAAGATGAGGAAAATTCCCACATGAAAAAAACTCAGCCGTGTTTTGTATTTCCAATTCCAAGAAGAATCAGCTCTCGAAGACAATAATGTTATTTATCATTATAATGATAAAATATCGATAATGTGACAATCAAGGGCGGAGAGAGAGGGTCCTGGGGAAACCCGGACCCCCCAATTTTTTGACAATTTTTTTAATTTAAAATTTTATTTTTTGTATTTACAATTTTGTTCTCAAATGAATAAAAAATTTAAACCCTACAAATCCAAAAACTTAAACTCGAAATGAACGCTTGTAAAAAGGTATGAATCATGATTTTACTAAATTAAAGATTAGTACTTTCTTTTATACGTTTCTTGATTTTTTTTTGTTAATAATGTAGATTTTAATTTATGTTTCTTTGTTTGCTTTCTCCACAATAAAGTATCAACTTCCCTCATTTTAACAAATAATGTTTAAAAAAAAAAAAATTCGGCCCCTTCAACTCTGGGACCTCCTACTTCAACGGGCTAGCTCCGCCCTTGGTGACAGTGTACGTGAAATAATGGAATTGAACATTTCAATTTTTATTGGTGGTGGTGGGGACGGGGGGAGGGATAATGAGTTGGCACATTGTCGATATTCTATTATCATAATGATAAAAAACATTACTCCCTAGAAAAAATAAGAAAATTGTTCTCTTTTTGCACAACTTTATTGTAATTTTTGGTCTAGTCTCTAGAGTACACAGACAATGAACTAGACTCGTGCTCGAAGTAAACCTTGAAATTTTGGAGGCTTCAAGTTACAAGGAACCTTTTATAAATAATTATATAATATTATTTAACAATATAAAAGTATTAATCTTATGGTGAGAGCTTAGGCCATAGCTTGTGTTCAGGTCGATTCTTCGTATGTTTCTAGCTAACACGCACTAATTTAGGCAAATAAAGTCTATGTTAGGTGAGGATTAAAATTAAATTTTTCGTGAATTTTGATAAAAGTCGATAAAATATGTGGTTGAAAATTTATGAAATCCATAAAATGTGTGGTTAAAATTAATTATTGATTTTAACTTAAATTTAAATTTTAATTTTAATTGGGGCTAAATAAAATAAGAGGAATTTGCATCTATAATCTTTAATATGCATGTATAAATTCGAGAGTATGTGCCATACTTTTCTCGAAAACTGGTACAATAACCTTTGCTCATTTTGCATTCTTTTTGTCGACTTGGCATAAATGGTCCCCCAACATTTACATTATTGGTGCAATATATCATTTTTGTCCCTAATTTTTGAGAGATTAAAAATAAGTCCCTCTTATCAATTATTTTTAAAGAGAGAACTTCATTCTTGCTTTAAACAGACAATAATTAAGTAAAAATAAAATAAATAAATGCTTCTCTTCTGCAACAATCCACCAAAAACCACCATCATTGCCAATCGTAGTCCCTATCGCCATAATTCTCATCCCGAACAAAACTATTCTCATCTACATTTAGAGTGTGTTTGGTAGAGATTAAAATCGAATTAAAATTGAAAAATTAACCGTTATTGTTGACTTTTATTAGACGGGTGTGACCCAATAACTGCTATATTTTCAATTTTAATTGAATTTTTAGTATTATCGAACAAAAAATATTTTAATGTGTTTGATGCATTTTGTTTAGGAGCTTGTTTGGGAGGGATTAAAATCGGATTAAAATTGAAAAAATAGCCGTTATTGTTGACTTTTATTAGACGGGTGTGACCCAATAACTGCTATATTTTCAATTTTAATTGAATTTTTAGTATTATCGAACAAGCACTTAGTCGTCGCCACCACTCTAAAACACCACCCATGTCAAACCCCAACCACCACCACCCCTCCTCAGATCAAACTTAACTTTGCATCATAAGTGTTGGCAAATATTAGATTTTTACCCTTTGGCACAATCCCGTGAATACCATCACAAATTATACAAATCCCAATATTTTCATTCTTCATTTTTATTTTGCCATTTTCAACTCCGAAATTGTTTCCATCAAATATGTGATTTGTCCTTCAAAGAATGTGCTCTCCGTGCCCCAAAACTAACGGTCTTTTGGACGTAATCCATCCAAAAGGGCTAATTGGGCCAGAATAGTAAAGGTTGGAAACCATCTATCACAAGTTTGAAAGATTTGGACTAA